CACAGCCTCTCGGAATACCTCTTGGGAGAAAAAGTTCTCACAATTCCTGGGAAACTTGGAGAGGCAGACAGCCTGGCCAGGCTTACTCCATAAAACCATAGTCTCAGCAACCCTTCTCCCTCCTTTGGGGGCACAAATATGTGGCACGGATCCCACCTCCAGGGTGGGAGAAAAGAGAGGGATAAACTAGACCAGGGTTCCCCGATCGCCGCTGGAGTTAGCACTTAGCTCCAGGGGCCATTTCCCTCTCTGGGATAAAATCTTTCCTCTATCGTCAGTTAATGTCCTGCATCTCATCTGACAGAAGTTGGTGCTATAATTTCAGGCTGCAAACCCTGATGATGGATGTATGGTCCTTGTTGCTGTCCATGTAAGAAAATGACTATTCTTTTCACTTTTTAAAGCAAAAGCTAGGAAATTACTTTAAAAGAGCTTGTATATGTTTTGTAACAATAAGTAGTGGAAGCATGTTTTATGTTACAATGCTCAATAATGTAGCAAATTATTTTGCCTTTAAAAATGGTCCTATAACAGAAAAGATTTAAAGTGGCCATATATCTGTTATGTCTGAATTTAGATTCTTTTTATGCTTGTTTGCATCTAACTAACATAGAAAAATCTTTCTTTTTTCTAATCATACTGCATCATAGTACAAAGCCCCAAATAAACAGCAAGATGCAGTACTTTATTTTGAAAGAAATCTTACCTTTCTTTCTTTTCATACCTATCTTTTCTGATACCTTACCTTTCACATGGTATCAACTCGTGTGAATTACAATGGGAGGGACTGAAGAGGAGAGCTTACACCTGTGTGTAGGCTTCAACTCCTCCAAGGGGTTTGTTTCAAATGTACGCTACAAACTTAAAACAGTTTATGTAAATGGAAAACTAAACATTATCATGAACATTGCTGTATTTGCAAAACAACCTTACTGTTTTATCTGTTTCTTGAATTCGTTAGTGGGGGTCTGTTAGCAGACCTTATTCAGAAAATCATATGAGTTTTACTAGTGGCATAGTCTCACATTTTATAGCGATGAAACACCTAACAGTGGCCAGATCCTTATCATTTTACAGAAAAGTGTCTTAATGAATTGTGGTCTTTTTTTTTTCTTTTTCAGAAGGAGTATTTTTTGAATTCAGTTTCATCTAAATGAAAGGTCGTCTTAGCCTACAGTTCAGATTAGTTTTTCTTCCAAACAAAATACCATTAAATTTTAGTACTGTCAGGTATTCCTGTCTGTGTTATTGTGAGGAAAGACACGATGTGACTATTTGGCTGTTAGCTCACTTGATATCATCTTTTCTATTAAAGAGCAGAATGCACATTGCCAACCTTTTGTTATCTAGTTTCCCAACTCCCATACAGTATCAGGTTCTGCCAAACTGGCTTACGTTTTGCAAGCGCTCACCATTGACTTCAGTTATCTTTTCCTGGTAGTCTGCATCCTGCCACTTCGCTGTAAATGTCACACACTCTTCTTCATTCATACTTCCTACTAAGATTTTTATTGAAATTGTGTACAGAACTATGCAAGTGTGCAGGAGAAAAATAATTATATTTATTCTATATATAGTTACTGCTGAAAAGGCTTTCATAGGGAAAAAATGAAAATATCATTTTTGATGCTAATACACTGCCCGGTAAGTGGAAAAATGGGAAAAGATGCATAATTAATGTCAGGACCTAGAAGATTTAAAAAAATATTCTAATACCTAAAGCATGTTTCAGTGTGGACTAGGTTTTTTCCAGTTGTATTTGTGTAATGTGTGCCTAAACTCAGCTTTTATATTTTACCTGCAGGCGTTGAATTTTCAGATGTAATCTGCCCCTTTCTGCTTTAATTAAAAAGAGAGGACAGAAATAATAGAAATGGAACAGAAGTCAGTATGTGAGATGCCAAATATTGTTACAATTTAACTGGTTGCGGTATATGTGTCTTTTAAGCATCTGATAGGGTGATCTGCTGACAGATTAAAATTATCATGTGAAATGCACCGTGAAACTACCTCCTTGCTATTTCTGAATGATATTTTGTCATACATCTCCAATAGAGGTTTGCTTTTTAACACATTTCATTGCAAGAAAAATCTTGTTATATATCCTTGCAGAAGATATTTTGTAGATCAGAAAAAAAATGTTATTTTTTTCAAAACCAGCTGAAAAATGGCTTTTAAACTTCTTGCATTGCAGGGAAGAAATTCTATGCACTCAGAAGAAAAAAAAAATATTTTCTCAGGAAAGCACACTGCCTTTGCGTTATTCTAAAGAATGTCAAACCCATAATACCCAATAGCATATTGTACATACATTCAATGACAGTGTACTGTTGACTGTTACAGAAGCAAGCATTGGAGAAGATACATGTGTAGCTGTACGCTATATGTGTACACTAGTGTATTCTAATACTTACTGGTAGGGAATTAATCATTTAACTTATGTAGCTGCTTATCACTAAATATTTGTTATGTGGTCATATATTTGGTCATATGAACTTGGTCAGCGTTTTTTCTTGTGTCTTGTGTGGTGACACAGTTTCTGGTAAGGGTGTTCTTTTTCTGTTCCTTTTCTTCTCCCAAACCCAAGCTACCTTGTCTTCCAAACACATCATACAGAAGACCCAGTCATGGGATTTTTGCTTTGTTGTAGTATTTCTCTGCTGAAGATGAGGGTGCTTCTGGGGGCTGCATTTTCAGTAGATATCTGCTTCAGTGGTGCGTTATTAATACCATTTGTATAGTGCTCCATGTTAAATTTCACCTCATTGATTATAATAATACAGAATTACTTCAGAAATTTAGTTCTGCCCCAGTGGAAAATACCAAAGATGCCATTCCTGAAAGCTGCTTTTGCTTCACTGACAGATGACTTCGCCAGATCAAATAGGTTGACAGGAAAAACACAAGTGAGCAGATCAAAACTGTTCATTTATCTGTCCATCATGTATATTCAAGAGATTTTTCTTTTCAGATAACTTTACCACAAGTCAAATCTGGTTATGTGTGTCTTTTTTGTGATTACCCAAAACTCAAGGATCATGAGCTTACTGTGAATTTTTGCTGTCATTTCCTGTACCATTCCAAAAAATAATGCATATTTCATTCAAGGTATCTGAACCAACTGAAACCAGGTGCAAAGAATTTGCCCTGTCTTTTCAATTCAGGATTTTTACAGGTTTTTTGGGGTCCAAAGTAGAAAGTGGTGGAAGGTATGTTGATCTTAACATGCAGAAGTCATTCC